GGGGGGGGGGGGGGAAGGCACCACCTTCAAAGATTCCTGAGTGGGATAAGCTTCAAAAACACCATGAACTTTCACACACACACAAAAAAGGCAACAATACAACCTATATCTTACATTTTAACAGAAAAATTCTCATAGCACCTTACAGAACCTATTACAGAGGCTGACCCAGTGATAGAGTCCATGACTCTGAAACGGCATTACTACCTTAAGTTTAGCATTATTGAAGTTTAATAAACCCTTTCCCCCAGACCTTTTCTTTTAAAGAGCAAAGACAGGTAAGTTACTAAGCACAGAAGTTGCTTAAAAAACTTAAAACACATACTCAATCTACTTGGTTGCTAGCATTAATATCATACTGATGACATTGCCATGAACTATTATTATATCTTCCTATTCAGTTCCTGGCTAAATTCTAATTTATAGAATAATTAAACATTAACATTGCTGCTCAGGCTGTGGCCATCTAATTCCCACCATTCACAAACTATTTCATTCACACTATTCAAATTTTCCATTTAACCCCCCCCCCCCAATGTTAGTAAAGTAATTGATACACATCATATACAAGAAAATTTACAAAGTATAAGTAACAGTTCCCGTTTTCACCCATGTTGAAGTTATACTTGCACAAGACCTTAAAAGCAAGCATTTCTTTAAATTGCATTTCGTCTGTCCACCTCTGGCACTGACAGGAACCATTCAACACAGCAAAAAAAGCTGGAGATCATCTAGTCCCACGGCCCCCCCCCCCCCCCCCCCCCCCCCCCCAGCAAAACCCTCATTATTTACCAGACATTAAAGTTACAGTGGGCTGACACTAGCACATTTATCCTGACAGCTCAAACAAGGGTGGGCTCAGATGGAAACTACAAAAAACAACTCCTGAAATACAATTGTTTCAATTAGAAAAGCCAAGTTTTCTCCCCAAAAAAGTTTTTTTTTTTTTTCCCCCCTCACAAATCCACAGATAACCACTGGCCAGTTAACCTGTTAATTTTTAATCTGATGTTTTTAGCTAGTGAAGGTTTGCAGATGAATTAGCCCAGAAGCCCTAATGGAAAAATGCAGGACACTTCCTGGGAAAGATCCAGGAACTGAACTTGTGTAACTTTACCAAGGACCAAACAGTCCCTGTCTTCTCCTTCCAGATCTGCTCTGAGAGCAGAAATTACTAAGAAGGGTCCAAATTGTCCAACCTTTCTATCTGTTCTGAGATGGACTTGAGGGGACAAAGCACTCCCATGAAGTCTGGTTCACGAAACCCCACAAATCAGCCCAGACTTTCAATGGAAACATCCCTCAAATTGGGGAAGATTTGGAATGCTTGAGAGACAGAACGTGATAGTCCTTCATTTCAGGAGGAAATAGCCTTGCATCCTCTCTCCATAAAGTTCAGGTACCCCTGAATGTTAGCTTACGCTTCCAGCAAAGACGCTTCTAACCCCGGTTTCTCTAAATGGGCTCGTACTGCCGGCAGTTTCACCACAAACACAGAACCCGATGGTTAAGATGAACTAAGAAATGACACTGTACTTGAACTTTGGTAAGGCTGAGTAGAAGGGGGTGTGCTGAACTTCTGCTGGAACACAAGGAGAAGCCAGAAGATAAATATTTGTCCTTATATTTTTTCCTAGAAGCATTTTACAAGTAGACACCTTGAGGAATTTTTCTGAGTGAAATTTAACTATTTGAAGTGTAAAATGAACCAGCTGCCATAACAATTAAATAATTTCAAAGAATGTGAAGATTTTGCTATTAAGTAGATTAAAACTATTACTCTTACACTATTCCTGTAGTTTCGCCAAGAGACAGGACTTGGTTACTGTCAGGGACTGAACTGGGGAGACCTTCCATGTGACCCAAAACATCTCTCCTCCTGTCCCTCCCCTACCCCACCAACGCTGTACAAACTGTAAGGAGGGCTCTGGCAATCCTGGGACAGAGTGGGAACTATTGCTCATGTTTTTGGTTTCGTCAAATTATGCACCTGGAATGTAATGGAGGTAAAAAGCCAAACAAACTATTTTGAGTTAATAGTCTTCAATAGAGAGACGGTGAATATCCAAAACGTAGACATTGCAGCAATTACTCTACTTCCCTTCTCTTTTTCCTGGTTTATTGTGTCTTCTGCACAGATTTGTACCTTTTCAGGCAGGTAGGACAGAGGCACGTTTCTGTGACTCCTCACGGAAAGGCAGGACAGCACAGCTCGGGTTTCAAAATGATGACAGTACAAGTCAGCCCTCAGTGACACGACGTCTAGTTCTTTGGGTTTACAGCAGAAGTACAAAATGTGAAATTCTAAATGTATATTTAATCCTCTATGCGCTTTTTAACAATTAATTCCAATTAGTAAACAAGAATTACATTGATAAAATTACAAATAGCACAGCCAGGATGATGTGTGTCAATCAGATGTTGCATATATGAGAATTATATCCCCACCACAAACCTATGTTAGACAGCTATTTCATAGTAGGAATATGTACTTATGTACAATAAATATGTACTTATGTGCATTAAATAAAAGGTACTAGTCCAAAGGTAGACTGAAGTTCCCAGGGCTGAAGGGCTGCAGAATCAGTAAGTGTCCAGGAAGAAAGGTGCAGAAGCATCCTTTATTCTGCAAGTTGACATCATGGCTATTTAGACAGGTTTCCAAAGTAAGGCATGTAATTCTGTGCTTCTTAAGCCAACAGAAAATGTGCAAATAGTTCATAAGCTTCATGAAAGTTTAAGTTTCAAACTACAATACCAATTAAAACTCTCTACCTAGAAGTACTTGTTGATTAGAGAAATTGATGGTAGAGATTTTGTGTATACTAATTCAGTCACATGTAAGATATTTAGTCCTTCAGAACCTCTACCAACTACTCTTTCAAATTTACAGGACACTTCACTGTATTTGAGGAACATATGCATATGCAAATCATATGCATATTTTGACAAAGAATCAAGACTACTTAAACCCTACATATGCGAATAACCTGTGATGCCTGTAGATGAACCTAGTCTAAAAAATCACCTTATCCTATTTTGACTATGAGAAACCAGAATTTCTGTCCTATCAAGTTTTGGTTTTTACAGTGTTCTGCCACATGATCCAGCTGAACCAACTCACTGTGTCATTACTTGGGTCTTGGATCCCGCGCACAGGAGCAGCCCGCTGTGTGCGAGGAAGGGGCAGGACTGCCTCTTC